GTGAGCAGGTGGTCGGAGGAAGAGGGGAGGGAATGGAGGTTTTAAAGCCCCAGCAGCCTTGGGCGGTATCTTTTAAGCCACCTGCCCACCATGACCGAGATCAGTTCAGGTTTTAGTGGGGAGATCTCTTTCTCACGTTTGTTGAGAGATGCTTATGTACAGATGCATTTGTTTGCCTGTTTTTTTTCCCTTCTTTTTTTGATTGGATGCTTTTTACTATTATTGATGTTTTTGTCTCGGCCATGTCTCTTGTGAATCATTGTGCAGTCAAACAAGAAGGAAAAAAAAAAATTTTTTTGGGTGGGAGATACTTAAAAATGCTGTTAAAAACCGAAGTTCTGTGCCTGTTTTGTGGCTTTGTGTCCAGTTGAGTCATCAAGATGTTTTCTTGATGTTAAACTACATAAATATTACATTTGACACACACCTATACTTATTGATTTATTGGATTGGGTTTTGTACCCAAGCACTTTTCTTGAATGTAACGGTTCAAATCACATGTTAATGGTATCTTGCCAAGGTGTACATGGAGATAAATTTGAAAACCTGTGCCAAAATGTTTAGTTTCATGCCGTAAATACATATTAAATCTTTAAAACATCTAGTGGATTCCTTAACCACTGGTTTGCTGTTGGTACATATTTATACTTTCATGTATTTCTCCATTAAAAAGACAGTTCATACAGTAATTATTATTTACTCGCCCTCATGTCGCTCCAAACCTGTCTGACTTACTTTCTTCTTGGAAACACAATATTTTTTGTCCATGCAATGTCAACAGGGGACTAGTGTTGTTTTGGACCCCATTGATTTTAATTGTGGAGAAAAATCACTGTAAACATCTTCAATATCTCTTCTTTTGTGATGCACAGAAGAAAGTTATACAGGTTTGGATGAGGATGAGGAAATAATGACAGAATGTTAATTTTTGGATTAGTACTTGAGATCAAAGTGATTTATTAGTGCAGATTTGACCGCTGGTTTATCCCTTCTGCTTTTCGGTTCATATGTTTCTTTCCTTTTGTTCTGGCTCTTATGTTGTTGCATGCAAAAATAACACTAAAACCTTCCAAACAGATGTTTTCAAAGGACAAACTGCCAGTGCATTTGTTTTCCTTTGTAAAGGTTTATGGCAACTTTTAATGTTCCTCCGTTTTGTTTGTGGATTCTTAGTGCATTGACTTCTTTTCATTGCTCTTCTTGTTGTGGCTTCTTTGTGGGTGCATGTTTTATCTGCTCTTTCAGTGTTTTTGGGGGGCTTTTACTTAAAATGGTTAAAAAAGAAATTCTCTGCAATAATGCGTTGTATTCTTTGTTTCTCTCCAAAGACAGATTTCTCAGAGAGAGATTTCTTAACTTTTCTGAGTATTTGCATTTGAAATGCCTGTGTTCATGTGGTGTTTCGACTTTCGCTTTTCACTGGGAAAACATTCGCTTGTTCACTAATGTTATGTAATAAAGATTCACACTGGGAATAATGTTCTCAGAAAATATGGAGTCACTTGAGAGAGATGGATACTTGTCATTTTTAATTGTAATTCACAATATTTTACACAACAGAAAAAAATATTAAATTAGGATTTTTAAGAACGGAAAAAAAGTATTTTATCAGCTTGACTGGTCTCAGCTCTCAGTCCTGGCAGGTTCAACTCTTTTCATTCTGTAATGTGGAAGCTACAGTATGATATTTCTAACAGTATCAGTGCCATCGGTAAAAACAGTAAATATTCATGTTGAAACCTAAACACCTAAATCCAGTGATATTGACAATTTCTATCCATCAGTATTGAGTTTATACATACAGAGAGACCAGAATGACTGTGATTGATTGCTATTGCTGAAGTCAACTGTGGTTCTTTTTCTCTTAAAGCTAAAACAATCTTTAAAACAAAGTACAATAAAGCTTTGTAAACTGCAGAACAACGTCCTCGGTCCAGTTTTAGGACCTTCATATTAAAGTGCATCAAACAAAAAAATTTAATGAGTTGTCATAAAGCACAGTCTGTATGTCAATGGGAAGTCAGAATATAATAGCAGCTACTGAAAAATTATACATCTGTTTCTCAATTTGACATAAGGCCTGATTCGTGGGTAAAAGGAGAGGAAAAACTTGAATAAAATAGTACAAAGGACTCATTCAGTATCAAAGAAACAAAGGCACATATTTTCTCCCCCTCAGAGATCACAAAGAAAACCAAAATTGTAATTATAAGCTACATCATTTTGGGGGGAAACATCCAATTGACATTTTTTCTATTTGAAGATCTAGTATATATAGCCACAGATGGTTTCAGCACAACCATTAATGTGGCAATGATAATATTACTTGATGCTACACCCTCATTAGACTGTGGAGAAAACATACCAAAAAATGTTTGTTACATCACCGATCACAAGAATATGCGTACCTGTGAATAAAAACAGCTCGACTGCTGCTACATAATACAATAAAGATTATTGCTGTTTTGTAAACCAGCACAGTGATACAAAAATGAGAACTGCTCCTGAATGGCAGTGGGGAAAGATGGTAACGGAAGAGAGAGAGAGGAAGAGGGAATTACAATGATCTGAAAACAAATCAGCTTTACCTCAGTCTTCACACAAAACAGGTTTCCACTCTCTTGTGCATACTAAAAAGTCCACAAAGTCCATCTAATAACAAGCATGTTCCCTCATGCTTATCACAAATACCTCTTCACAACAGAACATTTCTTCTCAGTAGAAAACTGGTCGTACAATCAGTGTTTTACAAGTGCAGCAGTGAGGTGCCTAACAAGGCCCTCATTTTGGTATGCCAAAGGGGCATTACTTTTTGCTTGACAGTGGATTTTTCCTCTTCCCAAATGTCATTTACTTGCTTTCCACTCATACAAAGTGCCCTCTTGCAGTCTATATTAATATTCAGTCAAATCACAGTAAAACCTTGCAATGTAATAGTCCAGTGGTAATGAAACATCTACTTAGATACGGTTTCCCCACACAAATACTGTTCGCTCAACAAAATATAGATTTTTTTTATTTATTATTATTTACATCAGAGTTATACTGGGAAGGGATGAGGGATGTGTTGCTAAGGGCTCAGTCTCAGGACCGGCTCTGGGTTGTGTTAATCATGATATTTGGGAGAGCGTTGCGTCTCTTTCTCCAGGATCCCAAATCACAAGCGTATCTCTTGATCTGACGAAACCACTGCTGAGTGCGAGGTTTGTCGCAGGCACGGAAAACGAAGGCCTCGCGTCGGATGTCCAGCACCTCGAAGGTGTCTTCACAGTCGGCGTCGGCGGACACCACGCAGTTCGCCAGATGGATTGGCTCCCGTAACACACTGAACTTCCCGCTGCTCTTGTCCTTGATGAGCACCAGTACACCGTCCTGCACCGTCTCCGAGGTCTCCAGACTCCCTTCAGTCACCGTGTCTGCATTGCGCAGGGTGCGTACCATGAGTAAACTCTGAACGTTCTGGAATTTGAGGGATTTGCTTCCCTTCTTAAGCCACTGGCCATCGGCGGGCTGCGCCAACTGGAGTGGCCCCTCCATGATGAAGCGCGTGCTCTCTCGCGTCCAGCCCACCGTCTTCATCGACAGCTCTCTCATCTCAATGTTGATGACTTCTCGGTTCTTGCGACTGTCGCGCCGGAAAGAGCGCAAGGACCATGTGGCGGTCCCCTCCTGTTTGGTCTTCATGTTGATGTGCTCTAGATGGGACTCCACGCGGCTCTTGGCCTCTTTTAAGCGGGAGTAGTCTGGATGACATTCGTTGGTGACCTTGCTGATGCGACTTAGCAGTAATGGGTACTTGGTCACACGCTGAAGCGGCGCCATGAGGAAGGAGCGCAAGTTCATGCGCCTGAGTGCTGTGTTGTCATTCTGGGACACATCGAGGAATATCCTGAGGGATGTAAAGGAGCAAACTTTGATATACTTTTAACTTGAGTCACATATTGCATACATAACATGCAAGAGTTCTGGGCTAGTTCACTGTCACTTGGCTCACTACGCACTGCAAACGTAAACATTTTGTGATGTATTGAACATTGTGGGTATACATTTTTAGTGCTGAGTCATCAAGTTAACTAGCTAGTTTATGAAATTATGGCTTAATAATAATTTCCAGTTATTATTGCAAAATAAAAACCTAATAAAAAACTTGATTTTGGCAAAAAAAAGCTTTAACCACTTTACTAATTACAACACTTAACATTTAACGAAAAATTGTTCTTTGTAAAAAAAAAACACTAGAGACCTTTCTTACATGTATAAACACACACACTGATGGTGTTCTGAAATGAGGAGGCAAATATTTTTTTTAAATCAATTTTTAAATCAAATGTAGTCACATTGTCTTGTTTAAATAAACATTACTTTCACTATTAGAAAAAGAAAACAATTTTGTTTTATATTTTTACATTAACAATGTAATCAATACTCTATTTATTAAAGCCAAGTATGAATCTCATTAAGATGTGTTTTTAAGCATTTTACATTTATTCCAAAATAACTCAAGGCAGTAACAATTTAAACAACATATTTTATTTGTGAACTTATGTTCAGCTATTCTTTTTAATAGTTAACTTGATCAATGTTATAGACTATATAGATTAATTATATTAATTACTAATTATTAATTATATTAATGACTCGGGTCATCAGTCATCAAAGCTCGGTAAATATTGGTCACAGACACAGATTTACTTTTACCAAGCTGATTACTCACTAAAAAACCCCACAGATCATGTTTTCATGCCATTTTACACATCATTTTGATATAACAAACAACTTTTTTAAATTAGTCTTCCCATTAATGCCATTATATTGTTCATTCAAAGTTTCAAACTGATTCACGAACGCACACCAAAACAAGTGACGGGATTTATCTCATGAACCAATCACAGACGAACATAACCAGTCATGGTTGTCACTGTTATTAATGGTGAAACTAGTGCAATATTAAGTGCATAGTGCATGTACAATCCTGAAGGATTATATTTGAAAAGACCTACTAACTGATGCTTAACTACCTTTATTTGTAACACTGAATGACAGTGGAAAACCAGTTAAGCAGTTTATATTATGTATTATGTGTACCTAAGAAGCTCTTTTTCTTTCTCCAGTGTGTTGAGCATGTTCACAGATGTGGACTGCTGCAGGCAGTAGGTCTGAAACGCTGGAAGCATGTTGACAAACTCCAAGAAGATTTCTCCAATGCACGCAGTCTGCAGGTCCTCATCGCCCTGTGGGGAGACAGTCACTGTTTAATTTAGGTTTGCCATTGCCATTACTTTTTCTTTGAGCAGGTATTACTCCAGTCTTCAGTGACACATAATCATTCAGAAATTATTCTAAAATGTTGATTTGGTGCTCAAGAAACATTTCTTATTATCAGTGTTGAAAACAGTTGTGCTACTTAATATTTTTGTGGAGACCGTTATAGATTTTTTTTTCAGGATTACAGGAATATTTAATAGAAAGTTCAAAAGAACAGTATTTATTTGAAATAGAAGAAACATTGCATTTATATACAGTATATATATATATATATATATATATATATATATATATATGCAATAAATATAGACACACTTATGTCTTTGCTGTCAATTTAGATAAATTTAATGCATCCTCACTAAATATATATACTGTAATTTAATATACAGTCTAATGCAGCGTTTCTCAACTGGTGGGTCGTGACCCAAAAGAGGGTTGCAAGACCGTTCTGAGTAGTTTGAGGAGTGTATAGTCAAATAAACAACATCAACAGCAAAAAAGTAATTCTAAATCTGATGTGAAACTTTTATTTTGAAAGACATGCGTGAAAGCTGTTGACACTTCTGTCATTTTAAGTAAATGCAGATGCAGTTTAAGTAAAGAGAGCCTGAGAAAAACACGCTGTCCCGATTCAATATCTGCAGTCAGATGAGATGTTGTCAGGCTTAATGTCAGTGTCATTATTCTGTCGTCGTTTTCGTAACTTGTTACACAATAAAAAGTCTCACACTCATGTTGTTTCAAACCTGTATGACTTACTTTCTTTTGTGGAACATAGAAGGTATTTTGAAGAATGTTGGTAACAAAGCTGTTTTGGTTTCCAATGACTTTCATTGCATGAACAATAAATACTGAGATGTTTCTCAAATCATCTTCTTTTATGTTCCATAGGTTTATGTTAGGCTGTTGTAGCCTAAACATTTAAGTGTAAAAAATGTTATGTTGAATTTTCTTTAAAGCTGCTATTTAATGTCTACTTGATACTTTTCACATTTAACACAATAATAGCTTTAAAGGGGTCATATGATGCGATTTCAAGTTTTCCTTTCTCTTTGGAGTGTTACAAGCTGATTGTGCATAGATAAGATCCCTGAAGTTGCAAAGACTAAAGTCTCAAAACCAAAGAGATATTCTTTATCAAAGTTAAGACTCTGCCACGCCCCCCTAAAACTGTACTGTTTGCAGTCAAAAATGATTGCATTGGAAAATTGTACTCTTTTTTCAAATCTCACTCAAGATCTTAGCTCATTATTTGAGATATCAACCTCAAATTTGGAACACAACTTGTTTACATTTATGGCTTTGGTTTTATCACAGTTTTGGTTAGTCACACATTTTTATTTATTTCATATAAAATGTAAAAATTGCATTTTTGTGCATTTTTCATAATAATATACTTAAACTTCTATAACTTTTTTTTCACTTTTTAAAAACAAAGTTTTAAACTTTTTTCACTTAAAAAGATAAACTTAAGTCTGTGCTCCAAAGCATTCAAGATTTGCAACTGGTAATAAATGGATCATAACTATTCCATGAATATAATTAATATAATTTAATATAAAATCCTCTAAAAATACAAAATATTAAATAATAAAATAAAAACATTGTCAAACTAAAGGGGAATGGGTTTTGTGAAGTCCTCTAAGACATTATATTCATACATAAATAGTATAAATAATAAGGCTATAACAGTATATATATATATATATATATATATATATATGCAATAAATATAGACACACTTATGTCTTTGCTGTCAATTTAGATAAATTTAATGCATCCTCACTAAATATATATACTGTAATTTAATATACAGTCTAATGCAGCGTTTCTCAACTGGTGGGTCGTGACCCAAAAGAGGGTTGCAAGACCGTTCTGAGTAGTTTGAGGAGTGTATAGTCAAATAAACAACATCAACAGCAAAAAAGTAATTCTAAATCTGATGTGAAACTTTTATTTTGAAAGACATGCGTGAAAGCTGTTGACACTTCTGTCATTTTAAGTAAATGCAGATGCAGTTTAAGTAAAGAGAGCCTGAGAAAAACACGCTGTCCCGATTCAATATCTGCAGTCAGATGAGATGTTGTCAGGCTTAATGTCAGTGTCATTATTCTGTCGTCGTTTTCGTAACTTGTTACACAATAAAAAGTCTCACACTCATGTTGTTTCAAACCTGTATGACTTACTTTCTTTTGTGGAACATAGAAGGTATTTTGAAGAATGTTGGTAACAAAGCTGTTTTGGTTTCCAATGACTTTCATTGCATGAACAATAAATACTGAGATGTTTCTCAAATCATCTTCTTTTATGTTCCATAGGTTTATGTTAGGCTGTTGTAGCCTAAACATTTAAGTGTAAAAAATGTTATGTTGAATTTTCTTTAAAGCTGCTATTTAATGTCTACTTGATACTTTTCACATTTAACACAATAATAGCTTTAAAGGGGTCATATGATGCGATTTCAAGTTTTCCTTTCTCTTTGGAGTGTTACAAGCTGATTGTGCATAGATAAGATCCCTGAAGTTGCAAAGACTAAAGTCTCAAAACCAAAGAGATATTCTTTATCAAAGTTAAGACTCTGCCACGCCCCCCTAAAACATCACAATGCACTGGTTCAGCTGGCCAATCAGAGCAGACTGCGCTTGTTGGAAGGAGGGACTTTGTAGAAAACGAAGCGTTTGAGAGAGGCGGGGCATAGAGGACTTACAATAATGTACAGTATTTGAAAAATAATGTGTTTTTTGAACATTAAAGAATGTCAACATATTCTGTTACACCAAATACACAAAATAATGATCTTTAAAAAAAGCATCATATGACCCCTTTAAATTATCTTTTGTGGGTATTTTCAAAGCCAAATTGAGTTTGCGATTAATTAGATTAATTAATCGCCACATCCTGTAATTAGATAAAATTAGATTAGACTTATTAATTAGATAAAAAATTTTAATCGACTGACAGCCTGACAATCGAAAATTTTTAATCGACTGACATATATACATATATATTAGGGGTGTCCTCGTCAGACATAATTACTGACGTTAACACACAGTGAAAATGTGTAACGGACGCCTCGCAGATACAAACGGGGTAAATAATGTTTTATGTTTTGATTAAAAGATAAACGTCTTTTAAGGAGTTAAAATTAAACATCAGCGAAACCCTAAGAATTCACAAAAAATTTTTTTACAATAGTGCTCTCATTATAATGTATATCACAGTAGTTATTAATATTCTGCATTTCTGTTTTGAGCTGCGCGCGCTGAAGATGATCAGTAGAATGAAGCAGCAGGTTTTTAATCAATGGGATTTAACTCATCATTTATCTCATATAGAATACGCTTCGTTATTTATACAACATAACGTTAATATTTCGACTTAGGCTATAGGCTATCTGCACAAAATTCCCCAAATACATGAACGTGTCTGCGCTGCTCTGAATGAACTCCTTTTGTGAACACGTTCTTCACACAACAACGTGCAGAAACACGGCAACTAAACTCTAAAAATTCACAGCGTTTTATTATAATAGTGTTCTCATTATAATTAGGGCTGGGTTTACATAAATTAAACATTGAAGAACAGTAAAAATTATAATGAATATGTTATATGGTGCATATATTTAGCAAAATGCCCCTCTCTACAGTTTAATTTTCTATCTGACTAATGAGTTTATGGTCACCAAATATGTTTTTTTCTGAGATAAATGTGACTTTACGTGACTTTACCTTCGGATGTTTAGTCATGTTTATTTTGTGCTGACACTGTGGAGGAGACGATCAGTCCACGTGCGCTACACGCTGCCGCTTATTGAGGCGCGCCGCGCTACAGCGATCTGTCACTCCACATTAAACAGTGCTAAAACGACATTTATTGTTTAAAGGCACAATATGTAAGATTTTTTTATTAAAATATCCAAAAACCACTAGAACAGTGTTATATATTTTGCTGACTTGTGTACTTACATTATCCCAAATGTTTCGAAGAATGTTTAAATCCAGAGAAATAAGCAATTTTAACTAGTGACACGGACCGTGTCCATAGTGTCATTGTATTATAATGGTTTTCTCATTATAATTTTATGTATATGAGAGTCCCAGTCATAGTTATTAATATTCTGCATTGTTGTTTGTCCTGCTCGCGCTGAAGAGATAATCACCGTAGTACTACAATGAAGCGCTTTACTGCAGCGCAACTCAACCAAATGCATCTTATACGAGATAAATAATATATACACAATATATATAAACCGGCTGAAATGTTATGAAATCACTTGTACCCTGTCTGATCAAAAAAATCCAGTCTTTCACTCTGTCTGTATCAATTTGAGTCTTGTTAAAGTTTTAAATCCCTGCCGCCAAGATGCTCCTCTGTCGGTCACGGATTATGGAAAGTGAAATTTAAATCACCAGCATTCCGTACCTGATCAAAAGCCTGATCAATGCTGTCCTGCAGGTGCTCTGTGAACCTGTCATTGACATCAATGAGCTCTTGAACGTTGCTGAAGACCACGGCCAGCTGCTCTGCTGTGAGCAGCCCTGCACTCTGCATGGGGCAGTAAAACTCTTCCTTGATGATACGCAGGTCCTCGCCATAACTCGACTCAGTGTTGAGAAACTCTAGGATGGCCTCTTTGCGCTCTGTGCGTAGCTTGGAGCAGCGTTCACACATGCCTTCCTCGCGGGCCCCCTCTTTGTGTCCACAGTCGGGACAGGGCTGCTGAGCGTCCCAGGCCCTGAGGGACGGCGAGGGTCTCCTCCAGCCCCGAGCCAGTCCAGGGCCGATGCCGCTGTCCACACGTTCTACCTCGGCTCCGGCACTGTGGCGGGGGCGGCGGGGGTCTTCCTCATCTTCACGCTCATCGCTCAAGCCTACGACACCGCTGTCTGCGCTCAGGCTGCTGACGGTACTCCAGCGGTGCTGTGCTGAGCGCCTCACACCCAGGCCCCTGCTCCTCTCCTCACCTCTGGGCTCCGAGCGGCCTCTGGCTGTGCCTGGCACTGATGACAAAGAACAAACAAACCTCTGAAGATCAGCTCTCAGAATTTCATAACAGTAGTTACATTAATAACATACAGATAATCAAAAAAGTCTAATAAAACTGTAAAAAAACTTAAAATGTTAGTTTTAAAATCACTTGCATTGGGAGAGTAGAGATAAAACAAAAAGAGACCAGAAAAACCAGCAAAAATTCACTTAAATATTTTAATAGGTGTTTTGAACTTTAAAACATCCCCATGAATTTACCATGGCAGTGGTATATTTACACTGAGTATAAAAAAAAGTTAAATACTGTTAGGGTACACTACCATTCGAAAGTTTGGGTTCAGTAAGATCTTTGAATGTTTTTGAAGGAAGTGAGACAGCAAAAAACTGTAAAACTTACTCCAGTCTTCAGTGTCACACGATCCTTCAGAAATCATTCTAATATGCTGATTTGCTGCTCAAACATTGCTTATTATTATCAATGTTGAAAACATTTGTGCTTCTTAGTATTTCTGTGGAAACCGTGATACATTTTTTTGTGTTGCTGTTCAAGTGAACAGCATTTATTTTGAATTATTTTGTAAAAATGTCTTTACTGGCATTTTCGTTCATTTAATGTATCCTTGCAGAGTAAAAATATTAATTTCTTTCATTAAAAAAAAAAAACTTTATGACCCCAAGCTTTTGAACGGTGTTGTAAATAGCAACAAATAGCTTCTTGTTTACACTAACTGGTAAAATACCTGAGAAATGGTAAATAGAAACCGCCAAATTATCATGTTATAATAACTGAAATTACATATATGATGATAAATCAATACTTTTTAAAATCTATACTTAAAAAAGAAAATTAAGAAAGTTCCTTTTTAAATCTTCTATAACAAATTATCCTGTTTGAAATAGAATAACATAACTGCTCATAATAACAAGGACTGTGCTCTGCCATAATCTATCACTATTTCTTTAGTGCTACATGTTAAGTTAGTGCTACATGATTATCGAAATCCTAAAATAGCCAGAAACAATTAAATATTTTAATGTTTGGTAATACCAATATATTTATAAACAACAAATAATGGAAAATATCCAATACGGTGCTGATACAGTATACAGTGCACCCCTAATTTGATACTAGATATGTATCTGCCTTTACATCTAAAAACTGCTGTGGTGCAGAAAGATAAAAGCAGTCCTCAGGGTAGAGGTCATGCATGTGACGAACCTACAGTAAAAGCCACCTAAGGCCAGGTTTTAGTAAAAGCAGAGTCTCATAATAACAACTAAAGTGATACCCTTGGGTTATAGACAAGCAAGCCTAACATTTTTTTAAATGAAGCATTGTCAGTACAAATCTAGGACACGAGTTAAGTTTACTTACAGCAAGAACTGTGAGCAAAGCTTAGTGCAGCTGAAAGAGTCTTACCACTGTCCCTGTCTCTGCGGTGAATGTGCAAACGTGCCGCGGCGGCGATCTTCATCTCTAGCTGCTTACGCTTGGTGGCGTCTGCAGGCATGGGGTCGCTGTAGTGGGGCCGCAGGCGGCACTCACGCTGGGCCCTCACTGACTCAGCCAGCTCATAGGCCGCGTCTGAGCTGGAGCGTCTGCAGCCCGCCCCAGAAACCTGCTGATAGGATGGAGATCTGTCAATCAACAGTGCACATGGTAACAGTGTAAAACCTCAATGAAGGCAGATTTGATCCCTAAGCACATATGAGAATATGGAACCACTAACTGTTTCAGACATCGATCAGAGTCACTGCATTACCGTACATCCAGAGGGTGTAACGATACCAAAACTTTTAATATATTGTGGTGGTAAGTGGAAAATTCTTTGCTGTGGCTTTTCATGCCCATTTACTGTTTATTAAAAAGTCTACTGACAGACTCCAAAGACATAAAATTCATCTCTTTTCTAAATAGAAATAATTCGGAAACCCAGTTTCCTTTTAAAACTGGCCTGCCGGATGGTTTAAAGTCACTATTAATGGGACGGTTCATACATAATTCTGTAATCATTCACTCAACCCCATGTTTTCCCAAACCTGTATGACTTACTTTTTCTGTGGAACATAAAATATGACATTTTGATAAAGGTCTCAGTGTTTTTTGTCCATAAAATGGTAGTCAATGGTAAACAAAATAGTTTACGCAGAACAAAGTCAGTCCTAATTTTCCTAAGGAAGGGCTTTCCTAACCCTTCCTAATCTTATTGTAAATAACATACCTACGGATACTATTTCAAATAAAAAAATTGGGTCCCACTTTATATTAAGTGGCCTAAACTGATATGTACTTGCATTTAAATTAATCATTTGGTACAATGCACTTATTCTGTACATACATTATATTAAAAAAAAAACAAAAAAACACCTGCATGTAATTAAATCAGTAATTCATTTCTGTAATTACATTTATAATTACACTGTTGACCCACCCTTAAACCTACTCATACCACCAAACCTGTCCCTGGCCTTACCCATATCCCACCTCAATAGCAGCAGAAGTGTTTTGCAATACAATATGAGCACAATAAGTACATTGTAGTTATTTTTTGATGTAAGTACATAGTAGTTAAGGCCCTTTAACATAAAGTATGACCAAAAATGTGTCTTTACAATATTTCACACTCCTCACACAACTGTCCTTTTTGGCTAAAATCACCAAGATCATCTATTTGAACAATCCCTGCAAATAGCTGTAATATTTTGTGTGCTCCAATAAAGTGTGAAAATCAAGTCAATCACTTTATTTTCCAGTCTAAATTTGTTTCACTCTTAACTCTGTCAGATATCAAATGTGTTGACTTTAAAGGCATTCACACTGACTACATCTGCTTCAACTGACTCAACTGATATCCTTTCACCTTTTAAACATCTGCAATTCCAAAACAACATTTCTAAGTCAGTAATATTGTGTTTCAAATGCTTCTGCTATAAACACACATCTATGGTGTAAAACCCTCAAAAGGTCGCTCGACAGCATTAGGTTCTCAAGTGTTAGCAATGCACGAGAAACAAGACACCGTGGCTTCAGGTGACGTACAGAATTATTAATAAGGCAGCTGTTATCTTAATTAAAGACACAGAAATGCAGAGGCAGAAGAAGCATCTGTGCGCAACGGCTGACCAATGAATCATAGCAACATTACACATGAATGCCAGCATTCCTCGATATCACCCTTAACCTTAAAAAACATACAGCCAGTCGTATGGCGTGAATGAATGTGGCGCAATGAAGAGCTGGCTGGCATCTCAAGCAGCAGAGAGCATCAACACACAACCTGACATACAGTACAGAAGAAACGTAAGGCAGTTACCACCATGAAACCTGGTTCTAATCCTCCCTGCGTGTTGCTCTTAGCTGCGGCTCTGTGCGCTCCGCTGCATGTCTGCAGTCGCCTCTACCGTGCAGATTCCCCTGCAACCTCAGCTTCCCATGCACCCTGATCACATTCCCATATATGCATGACAGCCGCCGCTGTCCTCGTTCAGAGGTGATAATAAGCAGAGGTGTGCATGAGACGGCAGCATTCCTTACGCATTCTGTCGCTGCTTTCCCCCGTTGTCCCACGGGCTCGGTGCAAGCCTCCTCTCCGCAGGCCAATGTTGTCATGGCAACGTGGGCAGACTGATGGCTGGGCTGGGGAGCAGTGATGTCACTGACGTCATTCTGCTCACGCGACAATCGGACGGGAGACTCGGCTGCAATCTCTGCACTGCAGCTGGAGCAGCGAGGGAGAGAGAACACAAAGGGAGGAAAATGGGAGTGTTGAATTGGAATTACAAGTCCTGATTCTCCGCTCCTTCACGTGCCGTGCAGTCAACCCCCATCCCCTAGAGAGGACCGATGCCCCCCAGACCAGAGGGGCTCACTGAGGACAGCAATTAGACGCATCAATTCACATTAACACCTGAACTCTTCGCTGCAGGGCTCCGAATCGGAAACAAGCACAATCAATGTTTTAGATTTCTTTGTGTGTGCGTCAAGTAGAAAAGGAGCTTATGTATCCGTGGATGACCCCACGCACTGCAGACGGTGAATAAATAACAGCACATAACAGAGATTTTTGGTGTAGTTTTTGTTGTTTTAAGCTTACATATTTTGCATTATTTGTTTTTTTTTTCTTGTTATTCTCACTTAAACCAATTTTACATTGATGTTTTGGATTTACAAGAAAATATACTACTTGATTTCCCAATGGGGTAAAAAAAAAGTATTATCTTATATTATTCTGCTTTAAAGGTAAATGTACATTACAAGTTTGGGATAAGTAGATTTTTAGTTTTGAAAGAAATTATTACTTGTATTTAGCAAGGATGCATTAAATTGATAAAAGTGACATTTATAATGTTACAGAAAATTTCAATTTCAAATAAATACTGACCTTTTGTACTTTCTATTCATTAAAGAAGCCTGAAATGTATCACGGTTTCCACAAAAATATTAAGCAGCACAACTGTTTTCAACATTGATAATAATAAGAAATGTTGTTTGAGTACCAAATCAGCATATTAGAATAACTTCTGAATGATCATATGACTGGAGTAATGACTGCTGAAAATTCAACTTTGGCATCACAGTAATAAATTACTTTTAAAATATATAAAAATGAAATACTTTTTTTTTTTTTTTTGGTAATTTTTTTTTTTTATTTGAATATTTTTATTACATTTTTGATCAAATAAATGCAACCTTGGGGAGCATAAGAGACTTTTAAAAACAACATTACTGATCTCAAACATTTAAATGGTACTGTATCTTATTTTAAAGATTTATTTATGGGCTTTTTATGCCTTTGTTTGGACAGGAAAGTATAGACAGGAAATCATTGGGTGGAGAGAGAGGGGAGCAGGATCGGCAAAGAACCACGAGATGGGATTCGAACTCCGGTTGCTGCGAGCGAAGTTGCGCTGTATGTCGGTGCACTAACGACAAGGCTATTGGCGCCGACACTGTATCTTATTTTAAAGATATTTAGATATTTTTACTGGAAAACAAGAAAAAATTGTGAAAAAGACAAGTTTTTTTGCAGTGTATCAAATCAAAAACATTATTTAAAAATTATTAATACATTTGTGAATGAATGCTGATGGCTGTGCATTGATTGTTGAATAAACAGACTTTTAAATATACTAATCAGCTGTTTGCCCCAGCCATTGTTTGTATACAGACGTCCCTTAGGATTAAAAAACAGGTGTTTTGAGTGATTAGTTATAAGCTCTTAATTGCCTCTTCCACATCATTTCCATCTCCTTTGATGCTTCAGTTCCTCAGAATCTGATAATACTGCGCTCATCACTGTCATAAATTTGCATAGACGCCATCTGAGAATAGTGCTGACAGCACAGCCATGAGCTCTGAAGCATTCAAAAGAAAACACAAAGACAAAGAAGCCATGACATCTCACTAGGAAAAGGAGAATCACAAAATGCAAATGTTAATAGCTGGTGCGCGTCAAATATCCGTTTTAATTCTAACAATAAAATGTGGAAGAGTTCATTCACAAACCTGTAGCCGTGAACTGACAGTAATTAATATAACGCTCTAAAAGTGGCAATAAAACCAATGTCTTTCACACGTGAATGAAATTGTCATTAAAGCACTACAGATATATTACGTGTCATTTCAGCAGTCCTGTGTATGGCCATTAATTGGATTTGTAATTTATTAAGACATATAAAGGTGTATAAAAACTCTTATTCCACTGTACTGACAGGTTTTTATAAAAGCACTTTTAGGATGATGTTCTATTATTTATTTAAAGGTTTTGTCCACCTATACTGACTCAAATCATCAAAAAAAAAAAAAAGATAGAGAGGACCGATGCCCCCCAGACCAGAGGGGCTCACTGAGGACAGCAATTAGACGCATCAATTCACATTAACACCTGAACTCTTCGCTGCAGGGCTCCGAATCGGAAACAAGCACAATCAATGTTTTAGATTTCTTTGTGTGTGCGTCAAGTAGAAAAGGAGCTTATGTATCCGTGGATGACCCCACGCACTGCAGACGGTGAATAAATAACAGCACATAACAGAGATTTTTGGTGTAGTTTTTGTTGTTTTAAGCTTACATATTTTGCATTATTTGTTTTTTTTTTCTTGTTATTCTCACTTAAACCAATTTTACATTGATGTTTTGGATTTACAAGAAAATATACTACTTGATTTCCCAATGGGGTAAAAAAAAAGTATTATCTTATATTATTCTGCTTTAAAGGTAAATGTACATTACAAGTTTGGGATAAGTAGATTTTTAGTTTTGAAAGAAATTATTACTTGTATTTAGCAAGGATGCATTAAATTGATAAAAGTGACATTTATAATGTTACAGAAAATTTCAATTTCAAATAAATACTGACCTTTTGTACTTTCTATTCATTAAAGAAGCCTGAAATGTATCACGGTTTCCACAAAAATATTAAGCAGCACAACTGTTTTCAACATTGATAATAATAAGAAATGTTGTTTGAGTACCAAATCAGCATATTAGAATAACTTCTGAATGATCATATGACTGGAGTAATGACTGCTGAAAATTCAACTTTGGCATCACAGTAATAAATTACTTTTAAAATATATAAAAATGAAATACTTTTTTTTTTTTTTTTGGTAATTTTTTTTTTTTATTTGAATATTTTTATTACATTTTTGATCAAATAAATGCAACCTTGGGGAGCATAAGAGACTTTTAAAAACAACATTACTGATCTCAAACATTTAAATGGTACTGTATCTTATTTTAAAGATTTATTTATGGGCTTTTTATGCCTTTGTTTGGACAGGAAAGTATAGACAGGAAATCATTGGGTGGAGAGAGAGGGGAGCAGGATCGGCAAAGAACCACGAGATGGGATTCGAACTCCGGTTGCTGCGAGCGAAGTTGCGCTGTATGTCGGTGCACTAACGACAAGGCTATTGGCGCCGACACTGTATCTTATTTTAAAGATATTTAGATATTTTTACTGGAAAACAAGAAAAAATTGTGAAAAAGACAAGTTTTTTTGCAGTGTATCAAATCAAAAACATTATTTAAAAATTATTAATACATTTGTGAATGAATGCTGATGGCTGTGCATTGATTGTTGAATAAACAGACTTTTAAATATACTAATCAGCTGTTTGCCCCAGCCATTGTTTGTATACAGACGTCCCTTAGGATTAAAAAACAGGTGTTTTGAGTGATTAGTTATAAGCTCTTAATTGCCTCTTCCACATCATTTCCATCTCCTTTGATGCTTCAGTTCCTCAGAATCTGATAATACTGCGCTCATCACTGTCATAAATTTGCATAGACGCCATCTGAGAATAGTGCTGACAGCACAGCCATGAGCTCTGAAGCATTCAAAAGAAAACACAAAGACAAAGAAGCCATGACATCTCACTAGGAAAAGGAGAATCACAAAATGCAAATGTTAATAGCTGGTGCGCGTCAAATATCCGTTTTAATTCTAACAATAAAATGTGGAAGAGTTCATTCACAAACCTGTAGCCGTGAACTGACAGTAATTAATATAACGCTCTAAAAGTGGCAATAAAACCAATGTCTTTCACACGTGAATGAAATTGTCATTAAAGCACTACAGATATATTACGTGTCATTTCAGCAGTCCTGTGTATGGCCATTAATTGGATTTGTAATTTATTAAGACATATAAAGGTGTATAAAAACTCTTATTCCACTGTACTGACAGGTTTTTATAAAAGCACTTTTAGGATGATGTTCTATTATTTATTTAAAGGTTTTGTCCACCTATACTGACTCAAATCATCAAAAAAAAAAAAAAGATATTAACACTATGATTTAAAAAAAATCATATCAGGACAATAAGTTCCCTTGAAATGTGCTCATCCATTCTAGGCAATAAGATAAAGTGACTGTAAGCTTAAATAAGAGCATTGCCTTGTGACTTGTTCTTCTTTCTTCTATCAAGCAGACAATAAATGAAAATAACTATATAAAAGTCTCATAAAAAAGACCTGGAAGCCTCGGGCTGCTCTGTAGTAAATGAATACCCTCACTTGAGGCACTACGGGACAGCTGGGATATTGGATGTTATATTTAGACGGTTCCCAGCCTGGATTGAACTCCTGCCCTGGAGGAACATAACACTAGAGAAAGGCTCTGTAATGTCGAAAAGCTTCTGACGCACCAGCAATTAAGCTCTGTACTATGTCTGGAGCAAAAGTGTCTGAAGGGAAATCTATACAGATTTATGCATCCATGCTAAATTTGAGAAGACTGTCAGGGCCAGAGTTATGTTCTGTTATGTTAATCACATTTCTGTCAGGTTCGCATATTTTAGGCTTGTGTGAGATTGTGTGTGTAAAACATGCTGTTGGTGGACAGGTGTGAACCAGACAACTGCCACAACACAACCACAGAAGAATCCATATACAGTTACTGAAGTGAATCAATGGGGAATTGATGGGGTTTGTTGCTATAGTATTTACTATAGTCTTTACCTTTGTCTTTACTATAGTATTTACCTTTGATTGTTGCTACTGCAAAAATCTGGGGCCGGATTCACGTAAGAATGTTCTTAAGTGCAATTCTTGAAAAATTCTTAATAAGTTCTCAAATATATTCTTAAGAACATCTTAATTTTTTTTCTTAAGAAGAAAATAACAGTCGTTATCTGAGTGAATACATGACGCACTAATAAACTCACACTTTATTGTCTTTTTGCGCTTCCTGCAGATTACCCTAATAATCTTAATA